TCCTTCCTTCTATTTAAAGCTAGTAATAAGTTCTAATCCTTCCTTCTAGTTAAAGCTAGTAATAATAAAGTGTATCTATAGCCAAAACTTTTTTTTTTTTTAACTGGCTGAGGATGGGAAAAATGACTTTAGCTAAATGTCCAGCCACTTTTCTCATGGCTCTTTCACAGACACATATGGTTCACTATATATGACACATGTTGCAATCAGATTCTATTAACATTCATATTAACAAAAGTTCACCCAAGGGTGTGTTTACAGACTGAATTCTTAAAGTGTATACAAGACCCCTAAAGACAGTGTGAACTAGTCATAATAAAATCCAGCTTCATTTTGCACATGGTAAAAATCAGCGCTGAAAAAGCTCACCTCTTATAAAGAAAGGGGGATCTGCCAAAGGGGCTTGGCTTATTGACATTCAAGCAGACTTAAAGAAGAACACTGGGCAAAACATTTATTGACCTTTGCAGTGGGGCTACCCTCGCACTGCAAGATTTAATTTTGATTGATTTTGTCTAGGTTCGTAAAGAAAAAAAGAAATGATAAAATAAAAAAAAGAAGTTTATACTCGCCGGGTACATTCTACTTCCTGTAACCCAAAATACACAATTCACAGGCCATACTCTACTACACACACAAATCTAACTTTCCTCATTACCTAACAGTCAGATAACCAAAAGGTATATAAAAAAAAAACACAAAAAAAGCAAAAATGATGGGAAAGAATTAGTGAATGCTCACCGCTATTATTGCACTAGTATTTTTAAATTTTAGTAGCCAAATCCCACATGAATGAAAATCTGAGAACATAACTTCTGATACTATAAATTCCAATGTCAATGTTCCAATTCAGTTGTTGAGGAGTTAATGTTAAGGGGTTTATGAACAATAGTTCAGTTGCATGCAGTAGCCGATAATAATGCAGTCATAAAAATGTGAAAAAACACTATGGGGGGAATTTATCACAACTGGAGCAGACAGAATCTGGAGCAGTTGGCCATGGTAACCAATCCGCATCTCTCTTTCATGTTCAAATCTTAACTGAACAGACTAATGAGAGAAGCTGATTGGTTGCCATGGCCAACTGCTCCAGTTTTGATATATTCCCTGTAGAATAGAGTAGTCCCAGAATAGATATCCTACTCTGATCAAGTCATGAACCTGAGTGCCTAGTCTTGTGTATCCTTCTGTATGTGGAATAGAGAGAGTCTGCTCATGCTTCTAGTAAGATGTCAACAAATGTAAATATGCTTTATACATATTTCTCGTCATCAATATTCCTTCCATGATTATATTAAGTAAAGTAATGCTTTGTATTTGAATACCTTCTGTTAAAACAACTTCATCCATCAAATGCATGTTTGTTAACCCATTTTTTAAATGTTATATAGGGAAACATTGTTTGACATGCATCTTGTCACAGATATACAGGAATGTGTACTTTGTTTTCATTTAAAAGTAAACAGAGATAACTCCCACAGTGTGGATTCAGATCAGTAAGCCAGCATACACAACAAAAGTACCCGATGACAAATGGACCATCTTCACCATGAGCAGTGTATGTCAACATTTAAGACGGTGGATGACTTCATACCTCAGGCAAAAAAAAACTCAACTGTGTTTCCCAGAGCTGACTTTAGGGCTTCCCTGACATTAGACATGTTCCTATTTTGATCTTGATATGTGATTTTTTTTTTTTTTTTT